AGAATCACTAAGGTTGGAAAAGACCTCAAAGATCACCCAGTCCAACCGTTCACCTATTCCCAATAGCTCCTACTAAACCATGTCCCTCAACACAACATCCAGTCTTTCCTTGAACACCCCCAGGGTCGGTGATTCCACCACCTCCCTGGGCAGTCCAATGCCACAGCTGGCAGTCAAGGGTGCCACAGCTCCATGGTTCTTGAACACCTCCAAAGGAATCTACAACCTCCTGGGGCTGCCTGTGCCAGAATTTGTCCCTCTTTCTAAGAAGAAATTGTTTCTAACATCCAACTTGAGCCTTCCATGGCACAGCCTGAAGCCATTAGCCCTTGCCCTATTAATCTTGTTCACAGTCTGCATCCAATCTGGCTCCAGCCAAGTACACCCATGTCCATCCAGGCTTATCTGATCACCTGCAGACCACATGGTGCCTACCCTTTCTTTCCCCGCTACAGTACCTCAGTACTTTTTATGGCCACTATACGGCCCTTCTTCTTCAAGTCCTCTGCTCCCTTCGTGCTCCGTGACTGTGGTGATCTCAATGTCCACCCCAAGCCCAGACAGCAAAGCCTGTGAGATGCCCACCACACCTCAGGCATCTCTGACATTCTCTACTGCTTACCAGAATGCTGGGATATCCACTTCCCTCAGGCCCCACACACTGACCACCGGTGCCACCTCCTTCACAGCCCTGTTTGCAGCTAGATTCACCTCCGTTGGCTGCTGCAAGCAGCACAGAGCTGAAGGCTTTTAGGAGGGGACACTTACTGATGCAGCACCATGATTGGAGTCGCAGGTGGCTCTCTCTTTCCCTCCTTCCCTGGGGAATGGTTTTTCAGAATGAGCGGAGATGCTGCAAGCCAGCAGTGAAAGCTGAGTGTGGGGAAGGAAGGAGATGGTTCTGATCATAAATTCATAGAGCTTCACACGCCAGCAGGCTACAGACGCTTGTTTTTAAAGAGATTTTAAAACTATCCTGGGTGCAGCCAGTCAGACCAGGACACCCTCACTGTTTGGAGGACACATGCATGGGCAAAGCAAAGAAGGAGGTGAGCCAGCCCTGGAAAGGTTCCTTTCAGGGTGTGCAAATCTTCAAAGCACAACTTTCCTGTAGAGTTAAAAGGAGCATGTCCCATTTGTATGAATAAGTAAAAAAATGGGAACCATTCCTAAGCACGTGTTTGATCCTCTGGGTGTTTCCTCTGCTGGACCCAAGAAAAGATCAATGCCCTGATTTCTTTTATGTAGCATATCTGCATTCCTGCTTCTTCATTCCTCGACAGCTTGAATTCTTGTCCCTATTTCAAACGCATTTCTTCTCTTCCATATCTTTCATAGCATTAGAAAAATTCCTGTCATGTGTCTCTGCTGGATGTCGTTTCTTTGCTGGCAACCAGGCAAGTATTGATACTGTTTTGCTGCAGCAATTTTGCTTGTTTCATTATTGGAAACTGCTCTGGAGGAATATTCCACCTGGAGCTCTTGGGGCACGCCCTGCAGTTCTGCACTCCTGCACCAGGTCACAGCACATGGAATGTCCCCATGTCCCCAAGGTGTTCCCTGAGCTCCAGGAGCAGTGACCCCACCACCTTCCTGGCAGTCTGTTCAATGCCTGAGCGCTCTTTCTGAGAATAAATTTTTCCTGATACCCACCTTGACCCTCCCCTGGCACAACGTGAGGCCATCACCTCCCATCCTGTCACCGGTGCTTTTTGGCAGAGTGGATTCTAAAATCGGGTTCTTCTTTCCAAGCTGTGGTCCACAGAGTTTGTAAAGCCAACGTGATGAGAAGAAAACCAGGCAAGGCAAGACGTTCCTGGGAATTTCCTATGGAGCTTCACTGTTTTTACATAAAGTGGAGCTCTTTTATAGCCAGCTGCAGGTTGGGAAGGCAGCACAAACAGCTGCACTGACAGTGTCAGATGAACACCTTATCACCAAGCACTCCAAGGAAGAGATCCGTCCCTGCACGTTGCTGCAATTGAGATGTCACTGTGTGCCTTTCACAGCATTAATTACAACACTTTCCTGTATCTGAACACTGAAAAATAAGAAGCTGTTTCACCCCACAGTTTACAGAAGGAAGGTGTCCTTTTCCACAGTCAGATGCAGCCGCCATGAAGGCAGGTGTTATCTAAAGCACCTTCTGACATTGTGCATAGAGCAGAAGATAAATAAATTTCATAGTAATCAGTACATTAAGCTTAAGGAGTGCCCAGCCTCGTATTTGTCACAGTCGACCTGTGTTCAAACCCCAGTAAAGCTTGACTGTAGTTTGGCTCTGTTTATTGCACATCACTGATGGGCAGCTGGAGCATGTCTTTTTCCCCAGCAAAAAATGCAACTTCCCAGTGTGCTGGGTCAGGTCAGTCTGTCCAGGGGTGCTGGTGTGTCCAAGGGAGCCTGTCTGTCCAAAAACGTCTGTGTATCTAAGGATGCCTGTCTGTCCAGGGGTGTTTGCATGTCCAGAGGTGTCGGTCCACAGGTATCTGCCTCTTTAAGGATGTCTGTCTGTCCAGAGGGCGTCTGTCTATCCAACCACCGGAAAGCTGTCTGTCTCACCCCTTGAACCAAGGTACTGAAGCCACAAACAGAAGAGATTTTATGGGGAAGGCATATTCTCCCTCGGAGAGCTTCGAATCTAATCAAAACGGCAATTCCTACACATTTCCTATTGTGTGCCACTGTTGTGCTTCCCGGGGAGCACACTCACTCAAGAACAGGTATTTATCAGCAGCCAATGATTCAGCTCAAACCCCGAAAGGGCAAGGCTGGCACAAAGCAGTGGTGATGCACAGGGGAGAGATGCGTCCTCCTCTGCTCCTTTTTCCTCCAGGCAGCTTGCAAAACACCCTGTGAATAATGGAAATACCAGCTCACCAACCCACTGCCTCTTGCAAAGGTTCTTACAAAAAACAGCCACCTAATTGAGGAGAAATTCTGTCTGCTTGGGGAAGGCAGCTCCTTGTACCTGGGCCTCCCCGCTCCTTGCGCTGCAGCCCTCAGGCAAGCCGGGATTCTGTGTCAATTACAGGAAAATCAATGAAGATACTGTTCAGGACTCCTCTTCACCATTCAGTGCGGATGATATCCTTCACTTTCTAGCACTGATTCATTTACTTTCAGCCTCTCTAGGGGCTCCTGACATATTGCTATCTCTGAAGAATCTGAAGCAAAAACTGCCTTTGTTTCTACTGCAACTTGTTCACATGCACTGTGCCTGGGACCAGGGCTGGGACCAGAGAAACCAGGTCAAAATGAAGCACTTTTAAAATAGGATTTTAAAACATTTCTTGCCAGAGCACCTCTCAGATCCCACCCAGAGAATCTCGGTAGGATTAAGGTGCAAAGTCAGTGCAAGGGCTGAAGTCCCACCAATGGCACTGCATCACTCTGCAGCATCATACCAGGCCATGCAGCACAATACATAGCCTTCTGCTGCTTCCTGGCTCATGACCAGAAACCTCTGATCTGTTCAAAAGCTGCCCTCATGGAGATAGCTGCAGGTTCCTACAGCCCATGGTGATCATCCTTCTTCAGGCTGGGACCTGGACAGGTGTGCAATATGAGAGATGTGCAACCTCGCTTCTAGGTGTCCATGCCCAGCCCCAGTACGCATGGCCAGGAACCACATCAGCCTTAATGTTAGGTGCTACAGAGTGGATTTCCAAACATCCAAAAGTTGAAATAGTTCGTGACAGGACCTGAGCAGACTGAGGCTGGCAACACCATGCCCTATGAGGACAACAGCAGACAAGTTGACTGGAAGTCATGTGAGGAGCCAAGTAACAAACCTATCATCTCCTCTATCAAAGCAGCATTATTTCCTGCGTTTTCATCCTTTTCTCTCTCCACCAAAGCTGCATGTATTCCATAGGAATGGGATACAGACCTGGGGGCTGTACTCAGGCCAAATTCCCACTGAAAGATGAAGAACCATGCTGTGACGTTATACTCGACCCTGCAAGCTCCTTGCGTTCCTCCTCTTCAAAGGAAGCCTCATGCATGGAGAGCTTGTAGGTTATAGCCCAGAGCAAGGATGGTGCTACAAAGACAGCATTTATTATTTATAAGGCACTTCTATGAACTTGGGGCTCAGAGGCAGAGCTGTCTATGGTGGTAAACTTTATAAGGAAAAAAAAAAAATGCAGTTTGAAGAAACGCTGAAAGTACTGCATCGTGCAGAAGCTGTGTCCGTAAGAGGCATTGCTCAGATTACGGAAGTCAGACTCTCTTGGAGTTCACATGAAAGTCGCTGTGAGATTTATGAGGCAGTTTAATTGCAGCTAGGGCTCTTTGGATAGCATCATGGCCTTTGGATAGCATCAAGCACCGTGTTTTTACACAACAAGGGGTCTGTGAGGGGGTCCGGCATCACCAAAAGCAGACTGTGACACAGGAAAAAGCTCCGTGGCAGCGCTCAGACCCTCCCTACCACGGGGACACCACAGGGCTGGGGACACCATAATGCCTCCAGGTGTCATTGCCCACCACCCATTCATTACCCGTGACCCACTGATCACTCATAGCCCAGAGCAAGGAATGGGAACCCAGATGAGGTCTGCAGATAGTGCTGGGATGTAGAGATAAACGGGGTGCCGAGCTCCGTCTGCACCCTCGGGCTGTCCCGCTGCGGAGTCCTTGGGACTGTCTGGGGACACCGCGAGGAACCTCAGGACCGTTTTGGGGTTGCAACCTGAGGCCGCTGGGAAGGAAACCGGTACCGGGAAAGGCGCACCGGGGAACGTCCCCGGGTCTGCCGGGCGTGCGCCGTGCCTGCCGGGGGGGGTGCTCGGCGGCGCTGCCGGGGCCGCCGGGGCCGGGACACGAGGAGGGGGGGGGGACGGTTGCCGGCTGCCATTTCAGCGCGCCGCCGCCCGCTCCCTCCATTTTCTTGCCGGCTGCCGGCGGTGTCGGCCCCGTCCCCGTCCCCTCCGCCTCCGCGCCCGCCGCCCCCGCATGCAGCCCCGCGGCAGCCCCGCCGCACACGCCCAGCCGCGGGGCCGCCTCCCGGCATGAGGAGCTGCAAGATGGTGCGGGTGGCCAGCGTGCTGGGTCTGGTGATGCTCAGCATCGCGCTGCTCATCCTCTCTCTCATCAGCTACGTCTCGCTCAAGAAGGACAACATCTTCGGCGCGCCCCGCGCCGCCGGCCCGGGGGGGGCCCCGCATGTACATGTTCCACGCGGGATTCAGGTGAGGGCGCGGCTCCGGATGGCCGCCACGGCCCGGCACGACGCGGGGGCAGGGGGCCGCCCCCACCCGCTCTTGGACCGGCACTGGGAAAGCCCTAAAGCGCTCGGTGGGAAAGCCCCCGGAAGGCCCCGCGGCCCCGGCGATGGCTCCTCTCTCACCGCGCTGCTCCCAGCACTCGGCGGCCTGCGGGAAGCGGGCGGCCCCAGTTCCGCGGGACCCCCGGGCCGGGCGTGAGAACCTCGGTGCTTAGGGGCTGCTGTAAAGTGGGCACGGCACGGCACGGCTCGGCACGGCTTGGCTCAGCCCTGCATAGCTCAGCGCAGCCCGGTTCGGTTCGGCTCGGCCCGCGGGGAGCGGCGCGTCTCCTCCGACGCTGTCCGTGGTGCTGACGCCGGTCTTTCTGAGCTGGAGACCGCGCGCGGCCTGTGTGTGTGTCCGTGTTCGTGTGTCCGTGTTCGTGTGTCCGTGTGTCCGTGTTTGTGTGTTTCCGTGTCCATGTGAGTCTGTGCGCACACGTTTAGGTCCCAGTTCGCGCTGAAGTTCCTCGATCCCTCGTTCGTCCCCATTACAAATTCGCTGGGCCAGGAGCTGCAGGAGAAGCCGTCCAAGTGGGTATTTAACCGGACAGCGTTCGCACAGCAGAGGTGAGCGTGCAGCTCTTCCCACTTGTCCCCCTGTCATCATCTTCCCAAGAGTTGTCCCCTCCCCCTGAATATTTGAGAAAATACAATTAGGGACTGCTAAATACTCTGGATTCTGAGTAATTTGCCAACAGTGAGAGACAAAGGCTGAATCAGAGCATTTCCCAAGATGGTAACAGCTATCTTGGAAGAACTGATTAATTCAGAGCAGAACACCAAGCTGCAGCACACATCCTTTTACCAAACGGAACGTGACCCAGTTTCTCAGAGTGCAGGAGAAATTGTCATTCCTTCAAGATAAATAGCTGGTTGATTAAAACTCAAAACGAATCAGACTGTAGCAGCCATGAAGTGCTATGCGTATGGAGGGCAAAACATGTCCAGCAATTCTGACTAAGTACAGTGTGGCTTCCAGCTCCACTCTGGCTGTGGATTGGGCAGAAGGCAATTCAGTGGGGACACCAAGAGCCCAGACTACCCTGAAATGTCTTCACTGCACATTGACTTCTGCTTGCTGTTCACAGGTTCATGGCCACATTGCATTGTGGCAATGCAGAGACCTTCATGTTTCCTTAAGCTTCCTCAAAGCTTAATGTGAAACAAGATGGATTTTTATTTTCTTCACTACGATGTGATGCCTGCCCTGCCTCTTTTATTTAATGGCTTTACTGCAGTATGTTTATATACAGCAGTAAAGTCGTGAAAGAAACAGAAATCCTTTAGCCATTTAAGATGACTACAACCATCTTGGACTACAACATCTTGGTTTCATATTGATGAATGCTTGCCATTTTAGAGGGAGCATTATGTCTCTGCCCACATGTCCCATTTCAGGAGCCCATCAGCAGCTGCAGGCCATTGAGATGAGATGGCACCTTGCCTGCTCCATCCTTCCTTTGGGGTCTCCCTAGCTGGTGCAACAGTGGCCACTCATCAGTATGGCCTCATTCCTGGCACCACCACCTCATCCTTAATAAATAACTGTCACCCTGCTGTTGGTATGAGCTAATGCCTCAGGATCTGCTGCTGCATTTGTCTGTCATCCATAACCCATAATTAGGGGACCCAATGGGACTCCATTAATGCTTAGATACTGGAGGATGTGAGTTGGAAGAAAGGTTGTTTTCCATAAACATGAGCAAATAAAGTGGTATTGGTTTTCTAATTTTATGCTCTGCTGGGGAAATTCCTGAGCAAGGTTAGTTCTGCTTGTTTTTTTTTTGTTTGTTTGTTTGTTTTTTTTTAAGTATTCTGAATAACCTTTGCAAAAACATCAGCATGTTTGGTCTAATAAGACATTAAGGACCTATGTTTACATAAAGGGAGACAGTGACTGTCACTTGTTCCATGACTAAAAGCTTCTTGATGAACACAGAAGGAATATTTGCATTTAAGAAATCAGCTATATTACTGTTAATTCAATGGGATATTCTGGACTTCTTGGTTTTGCTTCAGATATCTTATGGCAAACACAGTGTCCATCATTACCATAGATCCATGGTCCAGTACTGAGAGCTCCCTCATTGCTATCTGTTTATATTGATTTTAATTCTGTTGCACTGCATTGCTCAGTAAACGGCTATATAACATTTTAGAAAGGAAAACTTAAGTCTATCTGGAAACAAGTCTCTAACACAGACAAAGGGGAAATACATCTCAATGTTTTCTTTTTTTTTCTTTTCCTTTTCTATTTTATTTTAGACAAGAAATCCTTCAGCATGTCGATGTCATAAAAAATTTTTCTTTGACCAAGAATAGTGTTCGGATTGGACAGCTGATGCATTATGATTATTCCAGCCATAAGTATGTTTTTTCCATAAGCAATAACTTCAGATCACTGCTTCCAGATGTGTCACCGATCTTAAATAAACATTACAACGTTTGTGCTGTGGTTGGAAACAGTGGAATCCTGACTGGGAGTCAGTGTGGGCAAGAAATAGATAAGTCTGATTTCGTTTTTCGCTGCAATTTTGCTCCAACTGAGGCATTCCAAAAAGATGTTGGAAGGAAAACCAATCTCACAACCTTCAACCCCAGCATCCTGGAGAAGTATTACAACAATCTCTTGACCATTCAGGATCGCAACAACTTCTTTCTAAGCTTAAAAAAGCTTGATGGGGCGATTCTTTGGATCCCTGCTTTCTTCTTCCACACGTCAGCAACGGTCACTAGAACACTGGTTGACTTCTTTGTTGAGCATCGAGGCCAACTAAAGGTCCAGTTGGCTTGGCCAGGAAATATAATGCAGCATGTTAACAGGTGTGTATTTTTTTCTTGCATTTAGCTTGTCAAAACACGTATTTCTCCCTGTGTGAACCCAATGGTTTTTGTTTTCCTAGTCTTGCCTTAACTCCCTGGCCAGTCAGGACCTGGCGCTGTTTGCTTTCAGAGCTCATGCAGTTCTGTCATTGCTTCAGTAAGTGCTCCAGGGTCTGAGCCATCATGGGACTGTTCAACTGTTCCCACAGCGGCTTCCGCAGAGGCAGAAGGAGTGCGGAGGAGTTGAGTGAGATTCTGCATAAGAAAAGAACCACTTACAGAAGAACTTGCTCTCAGCTAGCAAATAGGGTGCCAGCAGACATCTGCAGAGTGATCTAGGCAAATCTATTGTAATTCATGTATGGGTAACATTGCCACCTCTTTAGAAAATACACTTCACCAGGAGTCAAGGGATTTGCTTTTCTGGATAAGGCACTGTTTTTCCGGGTGAAAAACCAAAAGCAGACCTTGAAAGAGAATGTTTAGGCATTTCTCTTCTTTACAGACTGACCTGAACAGCAATCCTTGCCTTACTCCAGTTATCAGCTGTGAACACTGATGCTCTCCATGCTATGGCATTTTTGGTGGTCTCCATACTGTAATCATATTTTTTCTTACAACAGGCCCACGATGTTACTTGTATCCTATAGTAATTTGCCTTTGTTTTTTTTTTTTCACAGATACTGGAAAAACAAACACTTGTCACCCAAACGGCTGAGCACAGGTATTCTCATGTATACCCTTGCTTCTGCCATATGTGAAGAGATTCACTTGTATGGATTCTGGCCCTTCGGGTTTGATCCCAACACAAGGGAGGACCTCCCGTACCACTACTACGACAAGAAAGGAACCAAGTTCACCACCAAGTGGCAAGAGTCCCACCAGCTGCCTGCAGAGTTCCAGCTGCTCTACAGGATGCACGGTGAAGGACTGGCCAAACTGACCTTGTCGCATTGTGCCTAAGAACCTAAATCTTGAAGTGCCAAATGATTGTCTAAAAAAGTGCCCAAATCTGAGTTAAATGCTCTTCAGATACAATTCTAAAAAAAAAAAAAAAAAAAAAAAAAAATCCACCCTAAAATATTTTCCATAATATGCAGATGCTTTTCAATCACCCTTGCCATTGTTCATCAAAGGGTCTCAGCACATTTAGCAACGCAGAAAATGCGGAAGCACTTATCAAATTCTGTGGATGCTATTCAAGCAGCAGTACAGTGAAGCTGAAGTATTTTGCTTTTATATATATGCTATGAAATATGTTTTAAAATCTTTTCATATTTCAGCATCCCACTACATGCCTGTAAACATTTTATTTCGGTTGTTCCTTCCAGATTAGGATTAGGAACTCTGCTTTCATAAGGCATTGCTTTTCTCGTACATGTTGCTGTGAGTTGCTCAGCATACATGGATTTGCCGTGGCCAATTGGTAGAGCCACCCCGAGCCCCAGCTCATTGTCATTTACAAGTTCCTCAGTGTGGAACTCCATTTCCACTGCTTGCATATTTTCGTACTTACTGAATTTAACATTTTTTTAAGAACAACAATGGAGAAGGTCAAAATATGGCTTGTACTTGGTTCCCCAGCCCCCTGTGTGTGTCAGTGCTGTATACTGCAGGGGGGGGGGGGGGGGGGTGAGTGATTCCCAGCCCAGTTAACTGTACAGGAAAATGTCCCCCCACCAGCCCGAGGGGGAGATGGAGTGAGGTCAGGGCAGCCCAGTTTCTGAGAAATGGCCTCGAGAGGGAAGTAAGCACAGTGGGTATGTGGAGAGCAGGAGATATGATTTTCAGGGTCCCAGTTTACATCACCGAGTTCATGGTCAGACAGCTGAATAGGTGGTCTCGTGTTCTGGTCAAGAACAGATGTTTGAGGAGATGGAGCTCTCTAGATACCTTTGAAGGTCAGGCTGGTTGCAAAAAGGACAAATCATAGGGTTTCTTGTATTTGAGAATCTTGGCCATGTTGTCTCAGGATAAAGGAATCTGTAAAGCAACTGTTTTTTCTTATTAAAACGAGTATGCTTCAAAGTATTTTAACATTTTTATATTACTCTGTATGATGCTGAGAACTGACTATTCATGGAAAGACGATGCAAAAGGCAATTCAAAACCATACCTTAACAGTGCACATTTTAGTGCACAGCACCCACGCTTTGGGGGATAAGTGGCTGCACCTGGCACGCGACCAAATTGGGTGTATTCCAGCAGGGAGGGAAACCTCATCCCTCTGCACTGCCTGTAAATATGAGAATTTTTAAAGCCATTTTGAAAACGCCCTGTACTTCCTTGTTTTATTTATTTTCTGGCTTTTACTTTGGCATCGGAGCTGCGAGGGGGCTCGGATGCTCTTTGGCACCGCCAGCCTGGCGCCCACACCTTCAGGCACGCTGCTCAGGATGCTGATGGCTGCAAAGTTCCCTTCCCAGAGCACAGTCCCACGTGAGACCTCAGGCACTTCTGGCTTGCCCCACTGCCTGTGCTCGTCACTGCTCATGCAGCAGAGCATGACTTGTGGCAAACGTCCTCATGGAGACGTCGCTGTGCAGCAATGCCAGAGCTGTGCCGTGCGGTGCCATGTGCTTTATTGCTAATATTGCTGTTGATTATCTGTGTTCAGAGCACCCATCCCTGCCAGACATCGTTCCCTGGGTGCCGGAACACACCCAAAAGCAGAAACTGCACGGGGAAGGGAAGGTTCTGTGCCAGTTGTTAATGATGTACAGTGATTAATCATTTCCAGTGCAATTTGCCGTTGAGCTGTACTGCAGATGCATGCTGGCTAAGTCCCGGATCGCTTTGCAGTTTATGGCAGTGTGCAGAAGGGAGTCCTGGGGACAGAGAGGCTGTGGTCTGGGACCCCTTCTTAATGGCAGGTGTTTTTGTTAGAAGGCAGGCTATCAATTTTATGCAGGGAGTGATCATCTCTATTAGCAAATTATAGAAATATGGACAGTTATCATTATATTTGCTTGAATGTGGATGCTGATGCACTCTGTACAGTTTTTTGGCTCTGAGTGGCGCTTGGCTGCTGTGTGTTGTTTACATGGTACAACAACTTTAATGTAGACGTAAGGGTGTCCATCCGTCCGTCTGTCCTGACAGCACTTATCTTCTGTCCATTCAAAATGACTGCTCTAGAGCACCCGTGTTGGAAGATAATCATTAAAAATTACATGCTGAAACCAAAAATTGCTCCAAGATTGTTCTTCAGTTTTTCTTTTTTTTTTTTTTTTTCTTTAAAGTAAACTTTTTTCCTAATCTCAATAAGGCTAGGGAGGCTAGCTCATGAATCTGTGTTCTCCTGGTGGTGCTGTCCCCAGCCATTTTTTCCTGGGGGTTGAACTGGATCGAGGGGCCTGTGAGAAAGCCAGAGAGGGACTTTTTACAAGGACAGGCAGTGATAGGACAAGGGGCAATGGCTTTAAACTGGAAGAGGGTAGATTCAGACTACATTTTAGGAAGAAATTCTTTACTGTGAAGGTGGTGAGACACTGGAACAGGTTGCCCAAGGAGGTTGTGAATGCCCCATCCCTGGAAACGCTCAAGGCCAGGCTGGATGGGGCTGTGAGCAACCTGGTGTGGTGGGAGGTGTCTCTGCCTGTAGCAGAAGGTTGGAACTACGTGATCTTAAAGGTTCCTTCCAACCCAAACCATTCTATGATTCTGTGATGTTATGATCTCCTTCCAACCCCTGCGATTCTGTGATTCTCTGTTGAGATCAGAGAAGTTGCATGGACTCCAGCATGTGTGGCTGCACCACCGAGTGCACCTACGTTGTTGAGGACACCAGAATGGGAAGCTTTTATGTGCATGGGCTTTGCTCCACCCCCCTTAGTAGGGCAAATGGGGCACTCCTGTAGGTTGCTCCCAGTTGTGATGCAAGGCCCAAGGCAGAGGATCGTGAGGCAGTCCTGGGGTTCTGCTCTCAGGGCAGAGGTGTTAGTGCCAGTCCCAAGGCATGGCCATCGCCACTGAGTTGCGTAGAAGCGCAGGGTGTGGAGAAAGAAGGAAGCGTGGAAACAGCTGCAAATATTTGGAAATGGGAACACAGAAAAATTATTGACAAAGGGCCATATTATATCATTGATTTTTAAGCAAAACTCCCCATTGATTTTTTAGAACCACATTGAACATTTCAGAATCATTGATTTTAATGGGGAGTTCTGCCCCGAAATCAATGGCACAATACAGCCCAAAGTAAATTGCTTCTTAGTATCAATATTTTTTGTCAGAGCTGTTGCAATGTGGAAAACCATCTTTAAATTATGCATCCTTTGTTTCTGCCTGTTTTCTTAGATCTCTTTGAATTCTGCTTTTCTCTGGAGTCTGAAGGGAAGGGCAGTTGTGCTGGCTGGGCTTCATTCCCAAGCCCCGCTCCGAGGCTGGGTTCTGTGCAGACCCCCAGGTTGGGGTCTCAGTACTTTGCCTGGTGTCCCTCAGCCCCTAGGAGCCATCCAGATTGTGCTGCTGGAGATGAGGTGCTGGCACCTGCATCCAAGAGGAGGTCGGAGGAGTTGGGTTGCGTCTCAGAGAGATGACAACCCAAAAGTGCAGACAAGAAAAGGAATGAAAAACAGACACTCCTTAAATCAGTGTCTTTTCAGGGTAGGAAATAGTGTTTTTCTTAAAAAAGAAAGCGTGCTCCTGCCCAGCAGCCTGGCTCTCTGCTGCAGGAGCTGCCAGATGCAGCCCTTGTGTTTAGGACAGCAAATCCCCTCTGCATTTGCTAGCATGTTGGCTAGACTCTTCCTTCCCTTTTGCTCGGTCCAAAACCTTCCCGTCGCTGTCTATCTAAATGAATTCATGATGGTTCAGGGAAAATACTCACTATTATTGCTGAATGTCTAGACAAACAAATATAGCTAAATGAAAGCACACATAATGCAGCGTGATCAATACTTGCAAGTACAGAACCTTTCAGTTTACAAAGTCAGGAGGAGCTCTGGGCAAAGAGCTCCTGATGGCAGCCATGGGGTGATGGCACTGCAGGGACATGGGGATACGGTGGTGGTGGTGCTGGAATGGGGCCATCAAGCAGAGAATTGAAAGAGGAGGTGTACATAGAATGGGGATAGGTGTGCTACCTTTTCTTCTCTTTACATCCTTGTTTGGTACTTTATTTGCTTGTATCTATTCAGTGAATACATTAGGACGCAGTAGGATACATTAAGAAAAACACAGATGTTTTGGCTTCCGGTTTGAATTGTGGAGTATACCAAAAAGTATTTGTGAAATATGACTAACTGTGAATGGAGATTGCAAAAACAAACCATTTAGAAAGCAGGTTTTCTGTAAATGAATGTGTCTTTATTCTAATGGCTATACAGTTCAATGCCTCATGGAGTTGTTTCCAATAAAAAGACAAATACTAAAAAAAAAATAAAAAAATAAAAAAAAAAATTAAAAAATGCCATAATTGTAATAAAGGGTTCGTTATTTAATGGCCATACTGAAAGCATTATTTATTTTTAAAAGGCTGGTGTTGATAAAGGGCCAGAGTAATGTCTCAGGTGAAAGGCATGCAAGGCTGCACACGCTGTGAAATGTGTCCCGAGCAGAATCACTGCTTGGTCCTGCTCCCCTCAGGTCCCTGTTGGCCTCAGGGCAACCAGAATGGGACCAGCTTTGTCCCAGAGGGGTGGATGTGGCCTGCACAGTGCGTGGTGCATGTAAATACGTCGTCACATTTGTAAGCAAGGAGCCTGGTTCTTGTTGTAACGGAGTGCCGCGTCGTGACCATCGTTTGTGGAGAAATAAACGCGATGATTCATTCTGAATCTCTCAGCAATGTTATTGTTTGGTGTGAATGTGCCTGCAACATTGACTCGTGCCAAAACACGATATTGAATGCATTGTTTTTAAATAAAATATTTTATTGTGCATTGAAAGTCTGTAAAACTCAACTGCGTCCACTTCTTCCCTTCGCGTTTTCTTAACCACATGCTGTCAATAGCAATTAATGGCTTG